TATCAATTTTATGCAAATCTCTCACTCCTTCCAGAGAAAAACAACCCCAAACTATTACAGAGCCCCCACCATGCTTTATTGTTGGAATGAGACATTGACTTTTCCTTTCTTCAACAGACTTTCTAACATAAACTCTTCTTTTATTTCCAAAAACTTAATGTCTCTGCAAATATGTTTTTCAGACAGTAACATCACTGTGCAAATTTGCCTCTTGTAGTCGATTGTACTAACAGACACTTTTTTTTTCTCAATCAGTATTTGTTGTTACACAAGAAGGACCTGGACAATTTGTCTTCCAATCTTTCATTTTCTAACAGTTTTTCTTATAGCATATCTTTCTACAGCATATCTTTCTAACAGTATATACTTCAATTTTTCTAAAAGCACATTCTAGAAGTAAAGTAAGTATTGCTGCTCGTTTTTTTATACTTATTGGATTGTCTTAAAGCATTTTTTATAATTTTAAATTTACACTGAAAATATTTAAAAAAACAACCTTTGAATTTTAAAATTAAACTGAAAATATTTAATATATTACCTTAAAATCCTACACCTAAAAATGTTCACAAACTGACGCAAAAATATATAAAAATTATTATGTCCTTTAACGGACTTTTTTAATCCAGCTTTTGAAAATGGCCTAATTTTTTATAGACTTGCTTGATGAGAGATGTTAATATAAACACTGGATAGTTGACTCCCAGGATCAGATATTTTCATAGGCTGAATAGGCAATACCCTACAATCTGAGCTTACCCTTACCCTTACCTGAATACCCTTGAGCCGAATAGGCAATACACTACAATCTGAAAGACTTGAATTTAATGACTAATTAAAAGCTGGGGTATGAACAATAGCATAAACTGGATCAACAACACCTGGAAATTGATTAGCAGTAATAGATTTTGTATGGTCTGTTACATATGAAGCCAAAAACTCGTCATAAATATGTTAGGGATAAAAGCTTAAATTCCTGCCACAGCAAATCCTGTAGAAATGCTAGATAGAGTTTCCAAAAAGAAAAAAAATTTCTGCTAAAGTTATCTTTCCAACTTGCTTGTCTTCTTTTCCTGCAATTACTTTAACTGGTTTTTTATCAGTTGTGAGACCGGTCTCATCAATATTATAAATGTTTTGTGGCTGAAACTTGTGTCACAGACAAACATCTCTTAGATTCGTGAAAAATTCTCCAACTGTGTAATAGTGAAAAGCTCACACCAAACTAGTAACTTCTGGATTTCATAAAGATAATTCATTCTTACATAACATAAAACCATGATCCACTATTTTTTGTGAACTTTTTAAAAATTTAGGAATGTGCTTAGAAAGAGTCATTACAAATTCATATGCAAGTTTTTATTTTGTTTTGGTTGACTACCCATAGTGAAGTTTTAAAGCCTTTAAAAGATAGTCTGATAAAGATGTTTCTTCTTTGTTGCTAAAGATTTACATGGTAACAAAGTTATGTTTGCAGACTGTACTTGGTGATAATTGATATTTTCTTGCATGTCTCTTAATTATCATTTAATTTATTCCCCACCCCTTGACACACCATAACCTGTATCACCATTAATAACTGCATCAATAGCTGCTCACATTTCATTTTTATTAAATTTATCTCTTGGCAGTTCAGTTTAGGTTGTTTTTTTTTAGATACATAATTTTTAACTGTAAAAAAATGAAACATGTAATGTAAAAAAATTAATTTAATCTTTGTGTAATTTTGTTATATGCTTTATTTTTGGATGATGTTTCTTTATAAAGAAACAAAAAAATACACAACATATATATAAAATAGTAAAAAATCAGTTTTAAGTTTTTTTTATTTTACACCCCGTTTTATCAATAAAGAATCATCAGAAAAGTTATTTTCTGATGAGTCTTTATTAAAGAAACACATAGTAATATAAAAAAGGTTGATTTTCTCCTATTTTATATAAAATAGCCGGGGTCAGGGCTGGGTTTGTTACATTGAAAAAACATTGATACATCCTAAAGTATATATATTTTTATTTAAACATTGATACATCCTAAACAACAGCTTAAACATTGATGCATTCTAAAGTATATATATTTTTATTTAAAATTCGTGTTTCATTTTAAATATATGCATGTATATTTATCTCTAACATTTTTTCCTGAAGCTGCTACCTCTCTACATGTTAATACCCAAACTACTTTAGTCTTCTCTGACAAATGTTGTTTGATACAACGTTTTTTCTAATCTCTGTCAAGATTATGGCTCCCTTTCTTGTCTTGTTAGAGTCATACCATACATTCATCTCATCATCGGCAAATACTACACCATATAAATACTAAAGTTTATGCAAATATGTAAAGAGATTGTATGCCAGCATTTAAATAGACAGCAAGCATATATGATTATATATATATATATATATATATATATATATATATATATATATATATATATATATATATATATATATATATATATATATATATATATATATATATGTATAAATATATATATATATATATATATATATATATATATATATATATATATATATATATTATATATATATATGTATATATATATGTGGCTATTATATTTATGCATAGATGCACATCTTACCTTACCTCCTGCATTCAAGTAGGTATGGAAGCTTTCGTTCCTTCTCTTTGGTTTTAATCATTCTACTTGACGTTTTTCATCTTTTTGTGCAGTTGCAATATTAAACCGTTATCACTTTTTTTGTCTTTTTTACAAGAACATCTTTATTGATAGCAAATGTCTTTTTATTACTGCAAGAATTTAATGTAAAATAATGCAGTCTGGCGCTCCGTTATTCTTAGTTTACTAAATCTTGTATCTTATCTCAAATATAAGATTCTAGAGACTTTTAAAATCTTTAAAAGTGTCATTAAAGTAAGTCTAACGTTTTATCTCTAATTCATGGGTCTGATCTTGTCACTTTTCCCCAGAATAAGGCAGAGTTGTTTGAAAAAAACTTTTCCTCTTACTTGACTGTTAAAATTAATAGCCATACTCTTCATGCCGTTCCAGTAAAACAGGTTAACTCAAAAAAAAAAAAAGTCAGTTCTCAGTTTTAATTTTCTACGGCTTGTGATTCAGACAACATTTCCATCATAGTCTTACAAAAGTGTTTTCCAGAATTCTCTTCAAACTATTATTAATTTCTAAATAAGTGGTTCCAATATTTAAAAACTCTAGAAATCACTCTAACCACTCCACTCTAACCTTGCGAGAGTAACCTCTCCACTCTAACCTTGCAAGAGTAACCTCTCCACTCTAACCTTGCGAGAGTAACCTCTCCACTCTAACCTTGCGAGAATGACCACACCAACTATCCTACAATTAGTCTTCCCTCTAAGTTTTAAAATTATTAAATCATTTCTATCTAACCACAGTATTAAAGACATTCTCGAAGGCCTACATTTCCATTTTCAGTAACTTTAGGAGTACTGCAAGGTACTATCTATAGGAGTACTGCAAGGTACTATCTATAGGAGTACTGCAAGGTACTATCTTTGTCCTGTTCTATCTTCCTGACACATCTAAAGTGGCTTTCTTTGCTGCCTCAACTTTATACTCTTGTCTGTATACTTATTATACTCTTGTCTGTATACTTTGCTGACTCAACTTTATACTCTTGGTTTGACATTTTGATTGCTTAGATCAAAAATCTTAAATTTTTGAACGCTTAGATCAAGTAGCCGATTTTTAGTCTGATTTCTTTTTTATAGCAGCTTGGGCCAAGCAGTGGCTTGTGAATTTTAACTTCAAAAAAACTTTATTTACTGTTATTACTGCTAACAGCTATCGCAATATTATTTTATCGCAATATTATTCCTATATGAGGGCGAATAACAGCCCTCCCACTTTCAGACAAGGTCTGAGAGTGAGAGTTATTCGTCAATATAAGAATATCCATAAGCACATTGTAAATGTTTGATCAGCCAAAATTCATTATTGCCATTCTTCAAAGTTACAAGTTAATGTATAAAGTATAGTAAATTTTTTATGCCTCTTAGTAAGTTTTTCGCCTCTAATCTTTCTGTAACTAAATTTTTCACCTCTTGTTCATAAGTAACCGGGATCCCGGTCACTTACTAACATGAGGTGAATAGTTTAGTTACAAAATTGCATAAACAAAGTTATATATAACACGTTGGTTATCATCTCTCTTTATAAGTTATGTAAGTATGGAGTTAACGCTATAGGATCAAAGGTACTCACGGAACAGTAATATTCCTATACAGTGGCAAATTTTTGCAAACTTAAGTTTGTGAAGATTCCGAATTTTCATATCTATTTTATGAGGAAAGTATATTAACAACTCTTTTTCAATTCTAATTCTTATTTTCTACATTCATTCACATAAGACAACAATTTTAAAAACAAATGTCAATTTTTATGATTTTTGTTAGAGTATATTAAAAATCATTGCTTTTTAATTATAACAAACTTTTATATGGAATATAAAAAATTTATTAAAATTTAGTAAGTTATAATAGACATTTAAATGCTGAATGTTATTTGTTACTTTTGTAAACAGTTATCTCTTTTTTCTTCTGTAGTCTTATCGCAGGTTAATGTGAGTAATGTGATTGTTTCATAGACAGAAGACTATGAATATTGATTTTGAGTTTCGAATTTCGTAAATCGACGTTCTTTGTTTTGTTTTTGCGCTTATTATTTGTGGTAGTGGTGTAGTGGTAGAGCTCTCGCCTCATAAGCGAGAAGTTCCGATTTCGATCCCTACCACGTCTCTGTTAGTACCGCGCTCAACTTGTTTCTCCGTGCAGCGGCTTTGTTCGTCTAGGTTCGTGTTTCGGAGTTATAGAGTTAAAAGAGGGTTGTAACTACAATTAAAGTAGTGTAGTGGCCTTCGTGGCCTTGGGGTGGTGAATTAACATTGAAAAAAATATCAATAAGTTATTATTTATTGAAGTATCAAAAAATATTTAATCAACATTGAAATAATTTTGAAAATATAATAATTTAAATTTAGAGCAAGACAAAGGTTTAGAGGTCCTTTCTAAAATCATCGAAAGACAAAAGTTAATGGGGAAGAGTATTGGAGATGAACTAGATTACCATAATGGTACTATTTTTAAAGATTTCTACGTATTTTAAGCATAATAATTAGCAATATTAAAAAATTGTCCATTTTATAGAGCTAATTGATGATATTCAAGACCAAGTAGATAGTACCAACCAAAAATTAATTCGAACAGAAGTTCATGTTAAAAAAGTGACAAGGAAGACTGGAAGCTGTGGTAAATTTTACAAAAAAAATAATAACTTTTTATTTTAAATTTTTTTATTTTAATTTGTTAATATTATTTTTAAATTAAAGTTTTGATAGTTGTGGTAATTCTGTTACTGATTTGTATCGTAACTTTGGCAGTTGTACCTATAAAATGACTGATGAATGCTGATGTCACCGTGGTAGCTGTTGTGACGTTTTGCAGCATGCGCAGTGTCCAAGATATAAGTTACATAAATGTACTGTATGATATATGTTTTTCAAATATAAATTTGATGTAAATGATTATGCAGAATTTTTATATTGGTATGTGTATATATATATATATATATATATATATATATATATATATATATATATATATATATATATATATATAACGATTACATCAGTAACGTAGCAAAGGGCCCGCAGCCGTCCAGAGTTATAGGGTCCATTTTAAATTTTTTTTAAAGTTGTCATTCATAAAAATAATATGCATGCATTTATACACATAGCAACATCATTTTTTGCTATTATTATAAAAGCTAAGAACTAAAAACTCTTTTTCAGATTTTTTTAGCTTTAATAATAGTCTTGACTAATACTTCAAATGATGCTAATTTAATATAATATATTGCTGAATCCTTCAAATTAGCTCATAGCTATTAGGAAGCCCTATGATGGCTGTTTCATTGTCGGTAATTTTAACATATCACATTTCCTACGTCCAGACACCCTATGGTTGCTCAAACCAAGGACGTTTTATTAGATGGACGTTTAACGTTTAAAAACCAAGATATCCGCCGTTCAATGCTACAATAGCAATACAATAGAGAACAGATTATAACTATTTTTAACTTGAGAATATTTTGACTTGATTTTGCGTCAAAACAGCGATAGTCTCTTTTAGCCTATAAAATATTTAAACATTCCGTAACACTTAAAAACTCTAAAAAGTTTTTAATTAAATAAAACCTCATTATATGAGAAATTTAAATACTTAAAATAATAGTGAAAACTAAGTGTAGGGAATAGAGACCATAAGTAATCTATAGTTCGATCTATAAATGACCTACAGTTTTACCTACAACATCTAGAAAGTTCGTTTCACTTTGCAGTATTCATTCTTGCAAACTACATATCACTTTTCCACAAAAATATGATTTTTGACGTCTAAGTTTTATTAATCATAAGTTCTTATTAAAAAGTGCTCACGTCTGAAATTAAACATTTTAAAACAGATGAACTATTTCTGATTAACTAAAATGCATTAATTAAAAAAAAAAGTTTGAGTTTTATAAGTAATTGTACTTTTTAAAAAAAAGTAGTTGAAAAAGCAAAAATATCGGGAAAAATGTCGGTATACTTTTTTAAATTATTCAGAAAAATGACGCTAAAAATTATACCTCGCGTAGGTTTTTGTTTACTCTCGGCGCTTCAGATCTATAACAATGCTTTAAACGTCCATCTATTAATACGTCCTTGCTCAAACCATATATTGGGCCTGCAGCAGTAATTCTATTTTAAAATTTTTTCCTTATGCTTTATTAGGTAATAATTAGTGAGGGCCGATTTAGTATGAATTGAGGAATTTCAAAAATGTTTCCCGAAAGTGAATCTCAGTTGTTTAGTTACAGCAAAGGTGATAACGATTCAATATCAAACTTTATTGCATCAATCAACTGGAATATTTTATTTCTGCATAAAAGCGCGGATCAAATGTTTTATTTATTAATTTCTAACAATTGTGCTTTTTGCAAATATTTTGTCCCCAAGGTTAATAAAACAAATAAAAAGTATGATCCACATTAAAAACCTAATCCGAGCAAAAAAAATCCGCTTGGTATATCAACTGCTAAACTAAATGGAAGACTATTAAACTGCTAACTTCTTAATCGTTTCGTAAAAGCTGAAATATTTAACATCCCTCTGAATAATTTCCATCATTAAAAAGTGATACTAACCTGAATGAACTTAATGACAACTTGGCTTTTTTCTATTTCAGACATTATTAACTTACCAATCTAAACCCCTATAAATATTTTTTCCATTTACAAAAAATCTTTTATAAATACTATAATCCTGACTCTCTAGAAATTAGCAAATTTTAGTTGTAAAATAAGCAGAATTTAGTGAGCTGTAAACTATTGACCTATTTCACTAAACTCTGTTGTCTGAAAAATAGTCAAAATACTTGTTAAAAACAAAATCTTTAAGCAATAATAAAATGCTCTCAACAATCGACAAGGCTCTCTTCACCATAATCATAATCATGAGGGACTAATCTAATAGAAACTTTTGATATTATTTATCTTCTATAACATTTCACCACTTTATTAATTTAATCTTGATTTCGCCACATTGTTAATTCTTCACCCCAAAACAGACTATTATGTTAAAAATAAGATTTTTTGGAATAAATGAGAATCAAAATAAAAAGGTACAATAAATCAATTCCTTAAAAAGCGTAATTTAGGACTCATTATTTGATGTAACGCCAAGTGGAACACACATTTTTGGACAGTTATCTCAAAATCCTTTTAAATTCTTGATATGCAAAAAGACATTCGCTTTCATTGATGAAAATATGGCTCTCAAGTTATATAAAGTGTTTATAAGACCAAACCATAAATATACAGTGTCTTTTGGGCTTCTTATTTAAAACCTGATAAAACCTTGGTTGAATTTATTCAACGCAAAGCAAAAAAAAATAGGTTTCTAGCATGAGACATCTTTAATACTGCAAAAGACCAAGAATATTGAACCTACAATCATTGACTAAGTGTTTTGGGGCAGCAATAAGCTTAGGGTTAAGAGAAATTTGCAGCACTTTTTTTCCGCATTTTACTCATTGAAAATTTCTGCATTTTACCCGTGTTCACAATAACATATTATGACATAAGTTGCTCATTTGAAAATATAATACCAATATTTATGTATATTTGACATTACCCATTAGCGTAGCAATTGCAATAAGATCCTTAAGCACATTAAAACACATTTAAAGACAACAATTGTTCACTATACCTAATAGCTACTGAAGGGTGTTGTAGATCAATAAATATAAAGACAAGAAAAAAACTTACTTGCATAGTGTAACATACTAGTTTCTATTTAATTAAATCAAAATTGTGTTTAGAAAAAAGGTTTTTGTTTTTATATATAATTTTTGTTTAAAAAAGGGATGCTAGGAGGGGAGTAGCAGAGAAGTAATTTAGGGGCCCCGATTAAAGTTTTGCAGGGAGGCCAATTTCTTGTCGCTACGCTACTGGTTTATATGTATGTTTGTTAACATAGTATGTAATAAAGGAGGTTTTAGATAAATGATTTGTTCCAGTAATACCAACCTAAAACATAATACAAGTTAGTTGTTAAATTTAGTTGTATAAAATAAGCGTCTAGGTTTTATAACACTTTCGAATGTCCCATACTTGGTCCCATACAATCTTTCATTAAAAAATGATTTTCTTTTATCATATAATAGTTCTAATATTTGTTTCTGTTTACCTAATTATAGATATGTTCTATTGGATTATATCTTAACGCTCAGAAGGTTGTTTTCTTTATGCTTTGGAGTACTAAATGAGTTTAAAATATCTTCCAATAAACTTCGTAAGGGTTTTAGTGAAATTATAAAAAGTAAGCGTTTAAGTTTAACACTAAAGGATAAAATTTTTAACAATGTTTATAACATCATCGAATGTCATATTTTACATTTTTAATCTTTCATTACAGTATAGTTTTCTTTGATACTCCAAAATTTGAATATTTCAAATACTTGCATCTGTTTTATGTAATTATAGATAAATGACTTTATAGTCTCTGTGGGTCAGTAATATTTGAGAGCATTATGCAAAACAGATTCCGCGACTATCTTATAAAAATTACTAAACGGTATTCTGAATAATTTTTTGTAAAACAAACATGCGTAATAAAAAACAAACATGCGTAATAAAAAACAAACATGCGTAATAAAAAATCAAAACATATTTATTAAGCTATTAGAGCGGGTGAGTAAAAAAAAGCAATTGCTTTTACTAACTAATTAGTCAGTTTACATGAATAGAAACTTAAGCAATTTTTGCTAAATTTCTATATTTTTATTCACTAAAAGGCTGAGTAATTACTTAGTCTTTTTGGAGTAAATTGCTAACGTTTACGTGAATAAAATTTGAGCTATTGCTAAGTAAAAAAAATTGCCTTTTTTTATTCACCCGGTCTATTATATCAATGAAAAAGGCAGCGGTTAGAGTCGCAGTGGTCAGAGTTCTATCGCAAAATCAAGAGATAAGAGGTTCAATGTCGGTGTCATGAAAATTTAACCAGGGAGTTGGATTTCCAAAAAACCGGATTTTTTAAAAAACCTCGATTTTGGTTTTAATTTAAAAAAGCACAGCGGTCAGCCGTGGTTTTCGGTTTTTCTTGTTAAATAATAAAACTTATGTAAGTTTATCATGTATTGCTTATTAAAAAATTTGTTTAAACAAAGTGTTCTTACAATATGTTTAAATAAATTTATGTTTATATTTCAAAATAAAATTTGTTATGATAATCATGATCTGATTTGCACAGCTTCAAAAAGTGCGTTCGACATCTGTTGATGTGGGCTTTATGTGAGAGAATTGCATTGTAAAATTTTTCAAGATTTTATGTTCGTTTGCTCGTTTTTCAGTGCAAAAAAACCTCTTGCTTTAAATTAATCAGTACAGTGATTTTAATTGATCAGATTTGGGCAAGTGTGTGATTCTTATCTTTATTAAAAAGTGCGTTTAATTTATCCGTTAGCGGAACAGGTGAACTTTCCAATGTTGTACATGGTGTTTCAGCTAGTAGTGATTCCTCATCATTAGAAGTAAATCCAAAAAGCCTAAACGCAAGTTTTCCAGTAAAATTTAAAGTAATTTTTAATGGAACAACTAAATGTTCTTTTAGACACTTTAACAACTGTATAACACATAACATTTACGTTAATTCTTTGATTGCCGCGCTTTTTTAAGCTTGAACGCAATAAAGATGCGATTTCTGTATTCATAGCAAATAGTTTTGCAGCATGAACTCGAGAAAAGTATCTGCAGTCGATAATATTGCATTTTCTCTGCTAAGGAATTTCTTTGCTAGTTTTGCTGGCTTTAAAGCAGCATGTATTGAAGCTAATGACTCATAAACTAGCTTGTTGATTACATCAAGAGCATTTAATTCAGTAAATATCTGGAATAAACATTTCTTATTTTTTAACAAAGACGCAGTCATTGAAAAAAGTGAATTCTATTAATGACAAACATCCAGATGCAGTTCAATTTCTCT